AATGATACAAGTGTCTGTTTTTAATTACAAGAAGGCAATACAAGTATGTCTCAAAGGCAATCCATGATATTTGTACAGGCACATACATGCATGTACAAACTAAAAATAGAAGTAATAAATACCCCTTTCTTGCTGTCCACATCTCCCATGGCAACCATATCTTCCTTGACAACCTCATTTTCCTTGGCAACCATTTCTTCTATCTGTGCCATAACCCGGTGTTCAACAGTTGCATGTGCAAAATCATAGCCCTTCTCAAAGTCATAAGCCACCTGTTTTATCATGGTCTCCACACTTCCATGCACAACTTGTTGGAACCCATCACTGATTGTGCAACTGCAAAAATAAATAAATAAATAAATAAATAAACAAACAAACAAACAAACAAACAAATAAATAAATAAAATTAACAGGGGCGGATTTAGGCCGACTTCTGGGTCTTCCGGAAGACAGTCATATTTTTAAGTTTACATTGACGGGTATCTAATATTTTCTGTCAGAAGACGGTCAAAAATTAAGGACGAATAAACAAAGAAAATCTGGAAGACTGTCAGAAAATATCCCTGGATCCGCCCCTGATTAATGAGTCTTTCTTCAATCAAGAAATATTGTAAAGAATTAGTATTACTGGTAGAATAACACTCTAACTATAATTACTAACTCCATTTACACACTCAGAACATATTACATTAGCAAGAAAATGTGAAATCATTTCAATAGTATGAATATTTAACACAAATGAAATAGTCTATGAAATGAAATGTGTTCAGCAAATTTAACTTTATTGCAACATAAATGTGAAATGAGGAGTCTTAGACTGGGTTACCATACTAAGATTGATCAATCTGGATCGATCTAACTCCCTGGGGGTTCACGCTAAATTGCTATCGGCTCAAGAGGCTTAAATGTCTGTCACGCCTACCGTATCAGCTAGGGGTAAAGATAATAACCCTCTTACAGCTTTACTAGGTGTTTAAGCCAGTTAGTTTGATAGCAATTTAGTGAGACTCCCCAGGGAGATAGATAGATCCAAATATCTGTGGGAATGGTCCCTTAAAATGAACACAAAAATAAACTGCTTCCTTACATGTCATCATACTGGCGCTCATCTTCCAGGCTCTGCAACACAGTGTCACCAGTGTCCTCTCTGTCATAGCACCTGATATTGTACATTGCTACATCATATATGCTATTCACAAGGAATGCTCCTATATTGACAAGGAGGCTGGAGAGGAAGATGTCTCTATCAAGCTGAATGACACCAACAGCACTGAGAAGGGTACTGGTAAGCAGCATGTTAGCAAACATGTAGTTCAAGGTGCTGTTAAACCACAGAAGGACAATGGCTAACTTCAAGTTAGAACAGCGTGTCCATCCATGACAGGACCACATATACAGAAGACAAGTTTGCAGTCCAAACCTGAAAAATATTAAATTTATATAAAATATCAGAGTCTGACATTATACATGAAAATTACTACATGCACATTCCAAGGAAAACTGTATGCTGCATGATGAAATCAGAATATATATCATTATTATTATTATCTTTCATATTTTATTTGTTGATAACTTGTAAAAGAAGTCATTTCAAAGTATATCATATGTTTATTTATTGATTGTGAGAAAGTCTCTCACTTACCTGTAGTTCTTACAAGACTCCAAAGTGGTGTATCCCACTGTGAGGCATCCATTGCTGCTGAAGTGGGATTCACAGCCAGATACTGTATCATATACTGTTATGTCCAACACATTCCTTCAGTGAAAGAAAAAAAAATTCACTCAAATCCTTTATCCAACTAATATTTAACAATCAATATTTTAAATAAATTCAAATAAATAAATTTGGGCGTCTATCCATCTAAACTGAGAAGCTAGCTAAGAGTTTAATTTATTTTTTCAAAAATACATAAAAGTAAGTTAAATTGGCATTAAACTCCATCTGGATATATTTTAATACTACTATAAATAACATAACAATTTGAATATAACTTTAACTACAGATGCATCCAAGGTATTCATGACACAAAACATATTTCAGAACAACGACAAAAATAATCTCTTTTGATTTGCAGACCTTTCTTTATACAGGTACTATATAGTGTTTTTAATGTCACAGTTCGTTTTTTAAATTACCATTGAGCTCCTGGTCCTCCACTGATGTTCAACACAACCTTCTTCAGTTTTCCCAGGGACTCTGAGTTTAATATAAAAAAAAATTCCCTATAATGTTAATATGTTGTTTGAGAGTACGACATGCATCAAATATAACTGAGTTGTAGTTTAATTCTAAAAATAAATTTAGTTAATATAACAATACCATTAACACAAATCAAATCAACAAGAATTCTTGCACTAGCTCTATCTAAACACGCTCTGCACTTAACTTTATGATAAAAAGTCAACATAACTAAGTTAACATGATACTTTAAGTACTAGTAATGATATATATAATATAGCCACTGACAGAGATGTGACCTGATGTTCCAGTTATACTTTAAGTACTAGCAATGATATACAATAAAGCCACTGACAGAGATGAACAGCAAACTGTGACCTGATGTTCCAGTTAAGACTGTACATGCTGAATTGATTGTAATAAATAAACAGTAATTAACTGCTAATAATACTGTTGAATCAATATTTGCTGAAAATGAAATTTATATGTGCTCCAAAAACATTCAAGATACTTACCTTTTGTATACAAAAGAAACCAGTTCTTCTGTCCTACTCCAAGGAAATAATGCTTTCTCCCATATTCATGCAGATTATGTTCAGGAGATACCCCCTGGTCTCCTATCAACTGCAATCTGACTTTGGGCGTCTTTACTGCTATAAAACAACATATTTCTATAGTTTGGAATAAATGCAGTCTAACAACAACTTCAATAATTATATACAACTGTAAGACTCTTCATTGGCCTTCATCTATTTTTCTATTTTTGGTCATTTTAATATTAAAATATATTATTGTACCACCAGCGTTAGCGCTGGCGGTACACATGGTTTCGGTCTCGTCCGGATCGTTCCGCCGGCTCCGCCGGCTCCGCCGGCTCCGCCGGACGGCTACCGTTACCGCTTCTCCTCCTAGACGGTAAGGCCCCCCATACCCATCTCATGGATTTAGGTCACCTATAATCTCAACTCGTTCCACGTAAAATTTGGGCTTTGTCGGTATTGGGGTCTGGGTGTGGCACTCATTGCAATGCACCCTTGTCCAAAAATGGCAAAATTAAATGCTAATTATCTACCCTACGGAAGGAGTTACGGGAAAAATTTCTACAGACGGCTTTCCAAAAGTCATATGTGTAGATTTCAAATATACCCTCGGATTTGACCTTTGACCTTTACTTCAAGGTCAAATGGGCCAAAATTTTCAAAAAAATGAAATTTTTTACGAAAAAAAAATTTTTTGCCCTGTTATTCAGACACCACACAGACTTAACCAATAATATTATTGGAAAGTGTTACCCTTCAGGTCATCTTTCATCTCCGTGAATTTGGGGTCAATCGGTGCATTTTCACAGGAGTAGCGGCCATAAGATACCGAAACTGAAAACTGTCTCTAATTCGGGAACCGTTAATGCTAGAGACCCATTCTTTTTTGCATTTTGTAGAGCATGTAAAGCCCAACACTGGA